GGGGGGGGGGGGGGGGGGGGGGGGTCACCTGCTGTTAGGGGGTGCTGCTGGCGTGGTTGAGTGTGATTTTGATGTTTTGGTGTTCTTATGTGTCAGTCTTTAATGTGTTTGGGTGTATTTTTGATTTCTTTTTGTGTTTTTGATGTGTTTCGGTGAGGATTTGAAGAGTTTCTGATGGGTTTTGTTTTGTTTTTGATACATTTTTGTGTCTTTTTTATGTGTTTTTGATTGTTTTTTGTTGTGTTTGATTGTTTTTTGATGTATTTTTATTAGTTTTTGTGTGTTTTTGATGCGTTTTGATATTGTTTTGGTATTTTGTTGGTGTGTTTTGGAGTGTTTTTTATTTGTTTTTGTCTTTTTGATGTGTTTTGGTGAGGTTTTGCAGTGTTTCTGATGTGTTGTGTTGTGTTTTTTATACATTTTTGTGTCTTTTTGATGTGTTTTTTATTGTTTTTTTGTTGTATTTTTAATTAGTTTTCGTGTTTTTGAAGCGTTTTTGTGGGTTTGCATGTGTTTTTGATCTGTTTTGATATTGTTTTGGTATTTCGTTGATGTGTTTTGGTGTGTTTTTTATCTGTTTTTGTCTTTGATGTGTTTGGGTGTGTTTTTTATTTGTATTTGTGTGTTTTTTATGCATTTTTGGTGTGTTTTTGATTTGTTTTTGATCCGTATTGGTGTTTTTTTTATGAGTTTTTTATGTGTTTGGGTGTGTTTTTGAAGTGTTTCTGATATGTTTTGTTGTGTTTTTTATACGTTATTGTTTCTTTTTGATTGTTTTTTTTGGTGTTTTTTATTTGTTTTTTGTGGGTTTTTGTGGGTTTGCATGCGTTTTTATCTGTTTTGGTGTATTTCTGTGTGTTTTTTAAATGTTTTTATGATCTGTTTTTGTGCGCTTTTGATATGCTTTTATCTGTTTTGGTGTGTCTTAGTTTGCTTTTTATATCTGTTGGGGTGTTTCTGAAGTTCCTCTGAGTTTTATTGTGTTTTTGTTGAGTATTTGTTATATTTCTGATATGTTTTGATGTTTTTTAGTGTGTTACTGATGTGTTTTTTATGTGTTTTTTATCTGTGTTGGTGTGTTTTAGATATCTTTGGTGCGTCTTAGTGTGTGTTTGGTATCTGTTGGTGTGTTTGTGTAACAACCTGACTGAAGGGATGTTGTTGGCATGCGTGAGCGTGCTCTCGATCTCCCGCTGGGACAGGAACATGTTGAGGTCTCCGTTCTCCATGTACTCGGTCACCATGCACAGCGGGTCGGACGACACGCACACACATAGCAGCCGGATGATGTTGGGGTCGTCCAGACGAGACATGATCTTTATCTCCTTCAGGAAGTCGTTTCTAAGGGGCCGACAGACGGTCAGGGAGGAGTTTCTAAAGTCCAATAAATAAGTTTCTCACTGCTCATTAAATGGATTTAAAGCAAATGTTTTGTAGACAGATTCAGATAAAAAGTCAATCAAAGGGCTTCAGCTGTTTAAAAACAGAGAAGTCATCAGCAGTCAGACACAAACAGTTTTCAAAAGGTGTAAACACAGATAAATTGTTCATCTTGGTGCTCATAGAAAGTGGATGGTGTTTTTCTGGAGGCTCAAACCTGCTGCCTTTAAGACTTTATTCTCATAAATAAGCTTCCTGAACATCCTGCTGCCATATGATTTCCCACTTCTGGGATCAGTAACTTTTATTTTGGTGTTTCTGCTCTGGTCCAGATCTGTGGATCAGGAGGAGCTGATCAGTTTAAGAACTAGACTTTGTCCTGGTTCAGGTAGTTTCTCTTCATAGAGGCTCAGTGGGTTTATCTTTAGATTTAAAATGTTTTTAGAGATTTAATTAAATGTTTTTGCTGTTTGGTTCTGAGGGTCCAAATGACTTATTTACAAAATTTTAATTCCACAATCAGAACATGATTACTGGAAAATGTCTAAAAGCATTTTCCTTTAGATTTCAAACAGTAAAAAACTAGTAAAAGCTGAGATTTCTGAGCTCTTTGAACACAATAATGATTTCCCTTCATTTGAAGACCTAAAAATATAATGTGTTAATGATTTTCCTACATCTAAAGACCTAAAAAGTGGTTTCTCAGTGATTTTCTACAGAATTCCCCACTCAGATGTTCCTCCATTTAAATGGATCCCACACAGTATCCTCTCCTTTCTCAGGTCACATGGGACAGCAGCCCTGCTCCCATTGGCCCATTTGGATCAAACATCTAAAAGCATTTTCCTTTAGATTTAAACAGTAGTGTCTGATAGCGTCTGCTATGAGGTCAAAGTTCAAAGAGAAAAGAAAGATCCTGGTACAGAGAGGCAGGGTCCTCCATCAGAGGTTAAAGTTCACCCCCCCCCTCTACCTGGCCTGGCTGGTGGCGTCGGCCCTCAGCTGCTTAACCGCCACCAGGACGGAGCGCCTGTCCCTGTCGGGGAGCGGGGAGCCCTCCCCCAGGAACCCCGGGAGCCCCTCCGCCTCGCACAGGTGCACCTGCAGCAGAGTGGGGGGGGGGGGGGGGGGGGGGGGGGCGGCCCGGGGCCCCCCCCGGCGGCGCTCACCTCTCCAAACTGCCCCTCCCCCAGCTTCTCCCTGAAGAGCAGCTGTTGCCGTGGGAACTCGGCGGCGGAGATGTCCTTGCGGGTGAGCGAGTCCACGGTGAGGGCGGGCACGGCGTACATGTTGCTGCCCGTCACGCCCTGCAGCCGCACGATGTCCGTCTCGGCGTAGTGCGGCGCGCTGCTGTGGAAGCACTGGTGGGGGGTGCACTGGGTCACGTCCGGCTCGGCGTAGCCCCCCCCACAGGCTGCGGGCCAATCACAGACAGCCCAGCAATTAGACAGGGAGACACACAGTCCATCAATCAGTCAATCAGTCCATCAATTAGTCAGTCAATCAGACAGTCAGACAGTCAATCAATCAGTCAGTCCATCAGACAGACGAACAATCAATCAGACAGTCAGACAAACAATCAGTCAGACAGACAAACAATCAGTCAGACAGACAGTCCATCAATTAGTTAATCAATCAATCAGATAGACAGACAGTCCATCAATCAATCAATCAGTCAGTCAGTCAATCAGTCCATCAATTAATCAGTCAGTCAATCAGACAGTCAGACAGTCAATCAATTAGTCAATCAGACAGTCAGACAGTCAATCAATCAGTCAGTCCATCAGACAGACGAACAATCAATCAGACAGTCAGACAGTCAATCAATTAGCCAGAGAGACAGACAGTCAATCAATCAGTCAGTCAGTCAGTCGATCAATAAATAAGTCAGTCAAACAATCAGTCAATCAAACAATTAGTCAATCAATCAATCAGACAGTCAATCAGTCAATCAATCAATCAATCAATCAATCAATCAATCAATCAATCAATCAATCAATCAATCCATTAATCAGACAGACAGTCGATCAGTCAGTGTTCAGGGTGAACAGAAGTAGTTTTATCAACGTCATTTATCATCATCATTTATTATTAATTTATGGATATAAATATAAGTTTATATAAATTCTATCCATCATCCATCCATTACTTTCCTAAAAACCTATTTTAAGCTAAAAATATGAGAGAATTACTGATTAAAACCCACAGTTTCTTTCCTCCAAAGTTGATTTTGGAGGAAAGATTCTATCTATCTATCTATCTATCTATCTATCTATCTATCTATCTATCTATCTATCTATCTATCTATCTATCTGATGGCGCCTCCCAGAGGACTGGATGAACTCTGCTTCTGGATCTAGGCAAAGAAAAAGCCACTTTTGGTTTTCCTGAGATTTCCCATCCAGTTTGGGAGCTTCCAGGATGTTCCGAGAGGTTTGGGGTCCTTTGGATAAGGGAAATTTTAAAAGGTTTTCCTCCATTTTGAACACAGAGGTAAATAAAACAGACAGAGAATGAGCTGAAACGCATTCCCAGTTTGTTTGAGGCGTGAAAATGAACATTTTTTCCAGCTAAAACGCAGCTCCGCTGGTTAGTGGGTCAGTAAAAAATGCAGAGAAAACGTCCATAATTCTGGGAAATGACGGTGTGGAAGCAGAAAAAAGCAGAAAATAAAGAGAAAGCAAGTACAGCAGAAGATTTGGTGCATCTGAAGTCTGCATAACTTTCAGATTTAAATGAAAGAAAGACTAATTTAATTCAAACTGAACGCATTCAGATAAATTCTGATGAGCCCACCACTGACACTACAAATCCCACAATGCACTGCTGCTGCTGTCAGCTTGTTTCCAGCAAGTTAGCACAAAGTTTCCTTCATCTCTGGATGCTGATCAGAGCTGATCCAGGAGGTGAACCTCATTCTGGAGGAAGAGCAGCAGGACTCTGGTTCTCTGGACTCTGGTTCTCTGGACTCTGGTTCTCTGGACTCTGGTTCTCTGGACTCTGGTTCTCTGGACTCTGGTTCTCTGGACTCTGGTTCTCTGGACTCTGGTGGATCAGAGGCTCAGATGTTGGAGTTTATCCAGAAAAAGCTCCTTAAATGGAGCGTTTGGGTCCTTTTAGATGGAAGAACTCATCAGAAACAGGAGCTTAAAGATTTATCTGGAGCTGAACGTCTGTTTGGGGGTTAAACGACTTCAGAAGTGACTTTAATTCTTTTCTTTTTTTCAGAAATGGAATAAAGTCGAAGGGTTTTAATAATAGATCGGAGAAAATCAGAGCTGATTCTGAAGGAAAATGGCAGAAAATCTGAGTTCTGTGGACTCTAGTTTGGATCAGAAGCTCAGATGCTGATGTTTGATCCAGAAAAAAATCATTAAATGGAGCCGTTTGGGTCCTTTTAGATGGAAGAAAAGCAGTCAGGACTCCTCAGAAATAGCTGGAAACTGGAGTTGAACGTCTGTTTCGGAGTTAAACGACTTCAGAAGAGACTGGAAACCTGATTCAGGGTTCAGTCGAGAAGCTTTCTGGCTTTTTTCTGCAGCTCTGGAATAAAGTTAGAGGACTTTCAGTGACGTTTAGGAGAAAATTAGAGCTGTTTTTGGAGAATAAAGCCAGAAAATCGTAGTTTTTTTGGACTCTAGTTTGAATCAGAGGCTGAGATGTTGGTGTTTTATCCAGAAAAAGCTCATTAAATGGAGCCGTTTGTGTTATTTTAGGCTTCTGAGAGTGGGACGTCCCACCTTTGGGCTCTTACCATGCAGCCAGCCCGGGGTCATGTGACAGGAAGTCAGCAGGAGGAGGTCATAGAGAGGGTTGCCGAGGAGGAGGGCTGGAGGAAGAGGAGACAGGGAAAGAGGAAGAGAGCTGGGAGGAAGAGAAGAGAAACACTGAGCATGCACGTCCGGCCAAACCAGGAGGAAGAGAAGAAGAAAAGCAGAGAGGCGGGGCCACCAGCCGGGCCGGGGGGGGGAGCCCCCCCGCCCCCCCCAGCAGCCCGGAGCCAGAGGGACCGGCTCCTCTGGGTCAGTGGCTCTTAACCTATCAGAGGTCCCGAACCCCCCAGAGTCAGATGCACACTCTCTGGACCCTTTAGTGGTAAATAAAAGGTTATTTTTTAATCCAAATTCAAGACATCAGTACAGCAGAACCTCTGTTCCGATGCCTAAACACACACATTTTCCAACATAGGAAGTGAAATTCGATCAAATATTCGACTTGTGTGACCGAAGTCATAGAAAAAATATATGAAAATGTAATCATTTTGTGAACCAGTAAAAAAACATATACAGTAGAACCTCTACAGAGGAGTCTAACTGGTTCCAAGACCGACTTCTATGTTAAAATATTGGTATGTTGGTTCAAATATTCCCATCAGGCATCGTAAGTAGAGGCTCTACTGTATATATATATATATATATATATATATATATATATAGATACATATAGCACACAGCTGTGCTCTAGTGGAAAGTCAAACACAGGAGAACCTCTACTTACGATGCCTAAACTTACATATTTTCCAACATCTGAAGTTCGATCAAATGTTCGACTCGACACATAAAGTTAATTTCCAACATATGTTGAAGTCATGGGAAAAAAAAGTATAAAATATGAAAATTAAGAAAAAATAAATAAGCTAAGTTAGTTTAAAGTTCAGGTAGTAAAGTCGGAGTAAGTTGGGGTACGACCTGTAGCTCAGTCTCTACCTGCCAATAAAAACCCTTTTAATTGATTATTTCTTCATCATTTATTTATTTTTCCATTTCTCTTCTAAAAGTAATTTGTTTTCTTGCTATGTGTAATTATCTGCAGTATTTATTAAGGAGTTATCGTGGGTTTTTGGAACCAATTCTAGGAATTACAGTGTATTCTGATGAAAGATTAGAATCAACATACCAATATTTAACATAGAAGTCGCTCCTGGAACACAGTTAGATTCCTCTGTACGGGTTCTGCTGTATTTGAACCCATGGAGCCCCTGAGACCGGCCCGGGTTCAGCAGACCCGGGTTAAGAGCCACTGCTCCGGGTCCAGAAGGCGCTCACCTGAGGCCTCGGCGCTCTGCGACAGCTCGGGCAGCTTGCTCCTCAGCACGGCCGGGTTCTGGTACTGGGGGTCCAGCAGGAACACCCTCTCATAGTGGGGGTCGCCGTCGGGGGGGCCTGAGGGAAGAAAAGAGCCACAAACAAACAGCCAATCAGGCTCCAGAGACACGACCAGACAGGAAGGGGGGATCCCAGCTCTTATCGGAGCTCCTCAGAAGCAGAATAAAGCAGAAAATAAATAACTATATCAATAATAATTGAAAAAAAAAGACAAATTTAGTTCAGATCAATTCTGATAAACCCACCACTGACACTACAAAGCCCACAATGCACTGCTGCTGCTACCAGCATGTTCCCAGCTCATCAGCACTGAGGGCCAAACGCCTTTCACTCCCACTGGCTCCCAAATAATACACGTTACGCTGTTACTTATGTACCTTATTTTAGAAACAGATTTTATTACTTTTTATTATTTTGTCATTTATCTATTTATCTATTTCCCTTGTTTTTCCCCTCTCTTGTGATGTTTTATCTTTTTAATCTAATTTAGTTGGTATTACGGTAACCTTGTTCAGAGAACAACAGAAAAAAGGGGAAAAAAGGCAGCATTTGAATATTTTTTATCGCTTCATGTTGTTCAAACTTTGTTTTACTGACAGAAAAATGAAGAATGTTAAACAAACAAAGAAAAAAACAGGGTTAAAATAACTAAATCCTTACTTCCATTTTCAACTGATCTTTTATTGTGAAGGGCGGGCAGGTGGGGGTCTACCTGTGGGGGCGTGGCCAGCTCGGGGGGGCACGGGGGGGGTCTGCAGGATGATGGTGTCGCTGCAGGACGACAGCCGGACCGTCACCTCCTCCCCCAGGATGCGGCGGGGCGCCTGGGGAGTCAAACAGCATTCACACGGCAGCTCCTGGAGCTTTGGCGACTAAAGCCCTGGAGAGGACTTTTTCTGGGGCTTTTTGTTCCCAAAAGCTCCCCAAGGTTGGTCAGAAAAATACAAAACGGTCTCAGAGATGCGGCAGTAGCATTAACACGGCAACTTCCAGAGCTTTAGGGAACAAAAACCCACTGAAAAAGTCTTTTTTCAAGGCTTTTTGTTTCCCAAAGCTGGTCATAAAAGACTGAAAATGGCCTTAGAGGCTGAAGCAGTATTAACACAGTATCTTTGGGGAACAAAAACCCCCAGAAAAAGTCTTTTTCTGAGGCTTTCTGTTCCCCAAAGATGGTCATAAAAGACTGAAAATGGCCTTAGAGGCTGAAGCAGTATTAACACAGAAGATTTTGGAGCTTTGGGGATCAAGAAAAAGTCTTTTTCTGAGGCTTTTTGTTCCCCAAAGTTGGTCAGAAATGGGCTGAAAACCTCCTCAGAGGTTGCAGCAGCCTCTGGTTGAGGCCCGCTCACCTTCTCCAGAACCTTGCAGACACACTGGCACCACAGGATGAGGAAGATGATGACGACCAGCAGCAGGATGATGGTCACCAGGCAGCCAATCAGGACGGGCGTGCTGCCCTCGTCTGGCTGGGCGCTGGCTGAGGGAACAGCTGCCCAGATGTGGACCCAAAAGGTTTCAGTGTGAGCAGGAAATCGGCTGCTAGCTGAGTGCTTCTCTGGCTAGTTCGGCCCACCTGTCTTTGGCGTGGTGCTGGTGTCCGGCTGCTCGTGTCCGGGGGGGCTCGTCCCCGCCATGAAGGTGGGCGCCGGCAGGGCGGCGTCCTCTGAGGGGCAGGGAGCAGGTTAGGGGTACCAGACACACACGTTTTGGGGTTCTCCTGTAGTTTAATGCTATCAATGCTCACTATGTCAACGCTATCAATGCTGATAATGCTATCACTACGCCAGTACTATCAATGTTATCAACGCTATCAATGCTGATAATGCTATCACTACGCCAGTACTATCAATGTTATCAACGCTATCAATGCTATCACTATACCAATGATATCACTATGCCAACGCTATCAACGCTGTCAACGCTATCACTATGTCAAGGCTATCAATGCTATCACAATGCCAATGCTATCAATGTAATCACTACGCCACCGCTATCAATGTAATCACTACGCCACCGCTATCAATGTAATCACTACGCCACCGCTATCAATGCTATCAACTCTATCAATGTTATCACAATGCCAACGCTATCAATGCTAACAATGCTATCACTATGCCAATGCTATCAACGCTATCAAGGCTATCAACGTTAATGCCAACACTAAGCCAATGCTATCAATAATATCAATATCAACGTTAACAATGCTATCACTATGTCAATGCTATCCATGCTATCACTATGGCAATGCTATCAGCGCAATCAACGCTATCAATGCTATCACTATACCATTGCTATCAGTACTATCAATCCTATCGCTATGAGCGCTAACAACGCTATCACTATGCCAGGGCCATCAATGCTATCAATGCTATCTCAATGCCAATGCTATCAGCGAAGTGAAGGCACCCCCCCCCCCAGATGGAGACCTGAGGGCGGAGCAGCACCTGACTGGAAGGAGATCTCGCTGAACATCATCCAGACGTCGGCGAAGTGGAAGCGGCAGCGCAGCGAGCGGGCGGCGCGGCGGTGCAGCGGCACGGTGACGTAGCGGGCGCTCGGGTTCCTGTCGTCCAGCACCGTGTTGAACACCACAGGCTCCGCCTCCCAGGCCCCAGAGAGGCGGGGCTTAAACCAGCAGGACACCGAGGAGAAGATCTTCACTCGGTGGGAAAACATGTTGTTGCAGTGAACCTGGAGGGAAGATAAAAAGGGGGGGGGGGGGCTCTGTTAGCTCTGCTGGCTCTTTTCGCTCCATTAACAGGGCTCTTTTAGCTCTGCTATTTCTGTTAACTCTGTTAGCAGAGCTCCGCTAGCTTTGTTAACATAGCTCTTTTAGCTCTGCTAGCTCTGTTAGCACAGCTCTTTTAGCTCTGTTAGCCGAGCTCTTTTGGCTCTGTTAGCATAGCTCTTTTAGCTCTGTTAGCCTAGCTCTATTAGCTCTGTAAGTACAGCTGTTTTAGCTCTGTTAGCTCGATTAGCTCTGTTAGCACAGCTCTTTTAGCTCTATTAGCTCTGCTACCTCTGTTAGCAGAGACATTTTATTTTTTTTGTTTGTGTTTTCTTACTGTTCAGTTGACCACCAACCTCAAGTTATTTATTATCTTAGTAATTTTGCATTTAGGTTTGACCCTTCATTAGCCATTTTGATATTATTATTTTGAAATTCTTCCCATTTTTGAACAGCTTGTGTCCTTTTTTACAGTCTGGTATAAATGGTTTAAAGCCTTATGGAGTGAGCAGAGAGCTCCCAGACAAACCTTCATGGAGGTGAAGTTCCTCTGCCTGTCGAACACAAACTCCATCTCCACGTGCTCCTGCGTCCCCTGGGAGTCGTTCCTCCAGCCCAGGTAGCCGTAGCCCGGCCGGACGGGGAACTGGGGGTGCTGGCGGGTCACCAGGAAGTTGTCCTGGCCGGTCACGCCGTCGGTCAGCTGGCCCAGGCCTCCGGTCAGCCTCCTGTGGAAGCAGAGGGCCGTGAGCCGGAGGGGCTGGGCCCCCGGGGCCCCCGGCCGGATGGACGGGCAGGAGCGCCACTCGCCTCCTCTCGTGCACGCCGTCGTAGGTGGAGTCCATCAGGCTGACGGAGGAGTAGCCGGGCAGCACCATGAGCTGACCCTCAGGGGCGCTGTAGGACATCAGGCCGTCTGCAGGAAGCAGAGAGGGAGGTGAGACGGGCCGGAGAGGGGCCGGAGAGGGGTGAGAAAGGGGGCAGAAACAGGCCAGAAAGGGGCAACAAAAGGGTGAGAAAGGGGTCAGAAAGAGGTGAGCAAGGGGTCCAGAAAGGGTCCAGAAAAAGGCCAGAAAGGGGCAAGAAAAATGGCCAGAAAGGGAGCAGAAAGGGGTCAAAAAGGGGGCAGAAAGGGGGAAGAAAAGGGGTGAGAAAGGGGCCAAAAAAGGTCCAGAAAGGGGTGAGAAAGGGGGCGGAAAGGGGGAAGAAAGGGTCCAGAAAGGGGCCGGAAAGGGGGCCAGAGAGGGGCAAGAAAGGGATCCAGAAAGGGGGGAGTAAAGGGGTGAGAGAGGGGCCAGAAGTTTGGCAGAAAGGGGGCAGAAAAGGGTCCAGAAAGGGGCGAGAAAGTGGTGAGAATGGGGCCGGAAAGGGGGCAGAAAAATGGCCAGAACTGGGCAAGAAAGGGGCAAGAAAAGGGTCAAAAAGGGGGCAGAAAGGGGGAAAAAAAGGGGTTAGAAAGGTGCCAAAAAAGGTCCAGAAAGGAGTAAGAAAGGGGCCAATAAGGGCCCAGAAAGGGGTGAGAAAGGGGCCAGAAAGGGGGGGGCTCCTACCCTCCCAGGGGCAGCCGTACAGCTCCACCCTCATGCACACGGTGGTGGACGCCATGGCGACGGGCATCAGCCGCACAAAGCGGGCCACGACGGGGGGGTGCAGGTCGTTAGAGACGAAGGCGTAGGTGTTCTGGTTCCCCTCCATCACCTGCAGAACCAGGACCAGGACCGCATCAGTCCAGTTCAGAACCAGGACCACGTCAGTCCAGTTCAGACCCAGGACCAGGACCACGTCAGTCCAGTTCTGAACCAGGACCAGGACCACGTCAGTCCAGTTCAGAACCAGTACCAGGACCACACCAGTCCAGTTCAGAACCAGTACCACGTCAGTCCAGTTCAGAACCAGTACCACGTCAGTCCAGTTCAGAAACCAGGACCAGGACCACGTC